CGGGGAGCGGAGCAGTGTGTTTCACAGCCCCGCCCCGGAGATGCTGTGCGACCCAAGTTAGACCCAGGGTGCATCAAGGCCCCAGCTCTGTCTGCCCGCCCCGCCTCCCCGCGCCCTGCGTGTGTGTGTGTGTGTGTGTGTGTGTGTGTGTGTGTGTGGTGTGTGTGTGTGTGGTGTGTGTGTGTGTGTGTGTGGTGTGTGTGTGTGTGTGTGTGTGTAGGGGGGACGGCGCGGTCAGGCTTCAGGTTCTCTCCGGGGAAGAAGCCGGGATGGAGCGAGTGGGGCGGGAGGGGCGAGTGACCAGTTTCCTCAAGCTGCTGTGAGTCCTGCCTCTTGGGGAGCTGGGCTCTGACTCCTAGGAGACCACCTTCGCCCCCAAAGGGATTATCTCCTCAGCAAGTCCCCGTGGGCAGCGTGAGCTCCCCCCACGCGGCTTAGCGTCACATGGCCCTGCCTCTTCCTCTCCCAGAGGGGCTTCAGGGCTCCGCAGGGAGCTGGTGGGCCGGGTGCAGGGGGGAGACATTTAGGCAAATGGACTCTGGGCAGACCTATCCTGGGGACAGTGTGCGCGTTGCTGTCAGGGGTTTATTCAGAGAAAGGATTCGTCCAGGAAGCCGGGGAGGGGAACGGCCAGTGTTTGCCCCAGAAGGAAGGCGGTGAGGGGATGTGTGCGGGGCTCCTTCCAGTCTCCTCTCTCTCTCTGAAAGGCACGGCCACACTGGGAGAGCCGGCCCCTGGCTAGGCGACGGCTTGACCCGCTGGACGAAGCCCTAACTGACCTCCTTTCTGCGTCCCTCGCAGGGAAAGAAGTGGAGACGGTGCCCGTGATGCTGTCCCCGCACCAGACCATCTCGGCGTCCCTGGGTAAGGCCTGGGGGCCGGCTGCCTGCGGCCCCGGCTCTGGGCCCGGCCGCACCCGCGCCTGCCCTCGGTGTGCAGCACACGGGGTGTGTGTGTGTGTGTTGGGGGGGGGGCTGGCACCCAGGATGAGAGGCTGAAATAACAAATGTGAGGGCAACTCGCGTGCCAGTGTGATTAGAAACGGCGTGTTTAAAACAGGTGGACTGTGCTTCATGAAAACCCCACCTAAGAGGATCTAAACCGAAGACGTGGGGCATTCGGGCAGCAGTTGTAGCTGGGGGGGGGGTGACACCCTCCCAGACCAGGACCTGCCCTAGAAACCAGTCACGCCACCGCCGGCTGCCGCTCACACCCCCTAGGGCTCCATCTGTACAACGAGGCTGACCGGCCCCTGTGGCCCCTCGTGGACCGTTTCTTGTGGCCAGAATTGCTGGCCAGCTGGTGGGGTGATGGCAATGATGGGCAGGATGGTCCCTTTTGCACCCCCTTTGGCGCAGGCTGTCTGGGCCAGCCCTCACTTCCTTACTGAACAACGGTGTGCCCAGTGGGGCTCCCACGAGGTGTTACTGCTTATTTCTCCCATTTCCAGCAGGAAAAGCTGCGGGGGTCACGGTGGCTTGAGAAAGGCCAGGCTGGGGCTCGGCCCGCCTGTGTCCGAGGCCCGGCCGTTCTGTGTTGGTTTCTGTACAGCATTTGTAGGCTATGCTCGTTCCTTAAACTCCGGCTTCTCCTCTCCTCTCCTCTCCCCCCCTCTCCACTCCACCCCTCTCCTCTCCTCTCCCCTCCTCTCCACTCCACTCCACTCCCCTCCTTTGCCTGGTCTCTGATTGGATATCTTTCTCTCTCGCAAGACGGATTCCGGAGCTCCGTATGTCCTGCCATGCTTGGGCGGGGACTATACTGAACAGGCTGATCTGATCTAGTCTGGGGCCTGGGAGAGCTGGTGGCCCCGGCCCGGGGCTGAGCTTCCCGCCCTTCTGGGAGGGCTCTGGGCGGAGGAGTCTCGGGTCCCCTGGGGAGGAGGGGGGAGAAAGGCTGCGTGGGAGCCTGAGGTGTCCTAGCGCCCACGAGGGAAAAGCAAACGGGAAGGATGTGTCCCCCCCCCTTCTCTCCTTTGGCAACTGAAAACGTGACTCGCAGCTAGCGCGGCAGGGAAGGGCACGTGTCCACTGGATCGGGGCCAAGCCGCGTGGGTGGGAGCGAAGGCGGCTCGCAGGAGCCAGTGGCCTTGGGAAGCGCCTGCCTCTGGGTGTCTCGGCCGAGGCCGGGGAGGGACCGGAGACACTGGGTAACACCGGTGCTGTGCCCACGTGAAGGGACTCCTCCAGGGAGCGGTTTCCTTCTAAGAAAGGAGTGGGCTGGTGTTTGCGGAGACGGGAGGGTCCCGCTCGGATCTGGGTGCGCGAGGAGCGGGGCTCACCCTGCGTCCGGCTCCTTCTCACGTGTCTGCGTGTCCGCTGTCCACAGGCTCGAGGCTGACCGTCCCGTGCAAGGTGTTCCTGGGAGGCGGCGCGCACTCGACCACCCTGCTGTGGTGGATGGCCAACGCCACCAGCATCGACGCCGCCTACCAGGCCGGCCGCGTGCGCGAGGGGCCGCGCCTGTGAGTGGGAGAGGGTGTGCCCCTCAGGGCCTTCGGGCGGGCGAGCTTCGTGAGCCCTCCATCAGCTTTCCCCATTTTTAAAGAGACAATGCCATGTCCAACCTCTCAACAGGGCACACATGCTATATTAAAGATACTTTTGCTAGTATGAACCATTGGATTTTTAGAATTTTAAAAATTGAGTTTGCTCAGAATTACCATCTGTTCTTGAGAAGCAAACTTTCTACATAAGAGCTGAGTTGCAGCCAACTGCTTGTCACTGAGGTTGCATTTTCTAGCTGTTTAATAAAATGCTTGTTTCTTGATTTTTGCAATTAAAAATACTTGGAGTTAATATATTTCTATTCCCCATTCTGCAACCTGAGTGTCAGACATTTTCACGAACCCTTAAAAAATTCTGAAACTTAGCCACAGCATCCGAGAGCCCTGTGTCCCAGGGCACGCTGGCTGCCGCAGTCTAAGGGAGGCTAATATTCAAAGTGAGAAAGAGTTCTGTTCTCAGAAGCAGTCACCTCGGAAGGGGTTTCTCCCTTTGAAAGTAGAACAATCAGATCTTGTAAATGGGAACCTTTATGTGAGGGAGGGAAACCATGCGATGTTCCAGTCATAAAGCACAGACTTTGGAAACTGTAGGGTCAGTCCCTGAAGCAGCCTGAACTTCCCATTGCCCAATTTTTGAAAGACCTATCAAAAAAGTCTTTCCGGGTGCAATTGAGCGGAGAAAATAATGTGTGGTTAGCACAATTGTTTGCAAGTCCTCATTGCGAAACTAACATTCCTCCACTCTGAACTTGAGTTTCCAGAGTGAGAGCTGGCAGTGGAGATGAGAGGAGGGGACACTGTTGAAAACTGGATTTCTGGAAACTCCCTGCCCTTCAATATGCAAATGATTTGTTGGTGATACAGTGAAGTTTCCCAAAATGAGACATGTCTAGCTCCACTCCTAGCTCCTTGTTCATTGAGGGCCGTAAAAGATGAAATTCCCATTATTCAAAATAAGCTGGCTCCCGTGACCTCTCCTTGTAACAAGTGTCCTGTCACAGTGACCAGCATCGCCACATCGTCAGTGTCACTCCTACCTTCAGAAGCCACTTAGAAATCCTCCCAAATTAGTAACAAATACTAGTAGAATGGCCAGTGCTCCTAACTGTCTTAACCTTGAAATCAATGCAGGCACCATGGGCCTTCTTGTTGGGCATGTTTGGGTGTCTGTGTGTAAGGCCAGGCCGACCTGACCGCCCACCTGAGCAAACGCTTTCTCACGCAGGGAATACTCAGAAAACGACGCGAACTACATTGAAGTGCCCCTGATTTTTGATCCAGTCATCAGAGAGGATCTGACCACGGATTTTAAATGTGTTGTTCACAACACACTGAGTTTTCAGATGCTGCATACCACAGTCAAAGAAGGTACGTATTCCGGGCGCCCGGACGGGAAGCGTGTGGAATGTTCTCTGGGTGCTGGGCAAGGCTGCCAGTTCTCCAGAATCACTTAGCAAGTCCCTTGGGCTTCCTGTTAGTTGAGCAAATCTCTAATATTGGAACAAGCGTAGGAAGTTTCCAGGAATTAGAACAAATCTCTAATATTTTACAATTTTTTCTGTAGGGTGGAGGCTGGCTTTAGGAGATTATAGTCAAATAAAAATGTAAATAGCAAGCAGATTTTTGGAAAAGAGATAAAATGGTTCTGTGATAAACCCTAGGAAACCTGTGTCCTCTTGTGGATCTGCGTGGCTCAGCAGGACCAGCTGTCCCTTGTGACCCCTTGAAAAGGGGGTACGTTCTTTACCCCCAAGCTGAGAAACCTTACCCCCAAGAGCCAGGACTGGTAGATCCCAGGGCTCGAGGCAGCTTTAGGGTTAAAGTCATCAGTGAATAGGAAATAGAGTGAAAGGCAAATCAACCCAGTGCCCACATAAGGACATTTTAAAAGAAGAGAGAAAACCCTGCCTTCTTAGTTTAGCTGAGCAGGAAGGAGACCGCCCGGCGGTCTGTCGGCAGCCCCGGAAGATGACGAGGGACCAGCCAGAGTTGGCCCCAGAGGCCATCATCACACCTCTGGGCATGTGCAGGGACACAGCCGCTCCAGGCCCCGCCCGGGCAGTGCAGACAGACTGTTATGGGAAAGCTGAGGGCTGGGCCAGGTCTCAGGGCCGAGAAGACATCTCCACACAATCTTTTCCAAAAGGAAAGCCACCAGCCTTGCTCACGGAGCTGCTCGGTGACATACAGGTCCCTGGGCTCCCCCAGGAACCCCGGGGAGGGCCGAGGGGGGGCACCTGCGCAGCCTCTTCATACTGAAGCGTATGCAAAAGCTGAAGTCCAGCTCGTTTCCACAGGGGCTGGGGGCTGTTTAGACTTGGAAATGGAGGTCCCACAGAGAGCGGAGCCCACTGCTAGGGCTCAGATTCATGACCCAAAGGAACTGTGGTTGTCCAGCCTGATGGTGGGAACCTCTAACCATTCTGTAATGAGAGCCTCTCTTGCTGAGCTGGCCATGACTGACCGCAGGGACACACAGGTGCCTTCGAATGGCCGCTCAGCAGATGGAAGCATCACTCACTTAAAGCCTTGTTGGGTTTTAGGGCGTAAGAATCACCTGGAGAAAATAGTCTGAAATTGTGTTGGCTGCTGGATGCCTAGACAGACTATGATAGACGGTATGATAGACACACGTGGAATTCTGGCCTCTTCGTCAATGTGTCTGACAGCACTCATGTTCTTGTGTTTCCTCGTTAACTTTTCTTCAGTCTCTTCCTATGTTTTCATAACACACAGAGGCCAAGGAGTAGGACATAAAGCAGCTGCATCCAAGCAACGATCTCCACACCTAAACTTCTCTTTTCACAGTTTGTTTTCTTTCCTTTGCGACTGTATTGAATCCTCACGACATCCATGCTCATTGGGAAAGGGCAGAGCTAACCCGGCCTCGTCACGGTTGCGAGCTGAGGCCTACCCACGCGACAGCTCGCTGCATACCGCCCAGTGGGGAGGCCGAGGCAGACCCTCGCTCTGCCGCTTCTCTCGGATGAAGTGCTGCTCCCCTTTGCTGGTTTCCATGACGCCACAGAGGTCACCCTCCAATGCCCCTGGTCCTGGTGCCCGGGACACACATTCTGAAACTCAGTGCACATTTATGGGAAGACCCACCTCCGTGGCTCTCTGCCCCCAAACCCGCACGCACTGTCCCATCTGGTGAGAGAACGTTTGACCCTGACCTGACCTTTCTTCCCACAGCCGCCACGTTCTCCTGGGGGATTGCGCTGGCCCCCCTTTCGCTGGTCTTCTTGGTTTTGGGGGGAATATGGATGCGCAGACGGCACAGACACAGAACTGGAAAAGCATACGGCCTGACGACATTGAAGACTGGTCATCAAGATGTTCAATCCTATTCAAGCAAAATAAAGGAAGTAAAATGACTCACATACAAATGAAAGTCTGACTGACGCCAGCGGCTCTGTCTGTGTGCTCCCAGTGGCTGTAGAAAAGGACCGAGCGTTCATGTAAAGCTTATTACATTAAACTGAATGGCAGGAGCAGTGTGGGTCAGGTGAGTCCCTGTCACGCGTGACCCATTTAAAAGAGTGAGGTACCCTTAGACCTGAAAAGCATTAAAAATGTCAAAATGAGTTTGAAATTCATTTAGTCATCACTTAACAAAAATATATTAAAAGTCTCTCTGGCTCTGCTCTCTGGGGGATGTCACACATACAAAGATGGTTAAGCGGAGTTTGCCTCTTTGGGGAGATGGAATTTCATTTCGAGACTGGGAAGGATAGCTCAGACATGCTAAAACACAAATTGGTGATTTTTTCAAAAGGATGATCCAAAAAAGAGCAATTAAGATAGAGTAGACTATCAGAAAAATACACGTTAAAACACATTAGTGAACTGAGAAGTAGGCCCAACCTTAAACCGAGTTCTAAAAATAAAGAGAAAGGAAGGGATATTGAGGTAAGTGCATACATTGTAGAAAAAATAATCAGAGCCTCTTATATCATATGCCAAAATATTTCCAATTAGGTTATCTTTTTTTAAAAAAAATCCTCACACAAGAAAAGGTTCCTATTGGTGTGTGTGTGTGTGTGTGTGTGTGAGAGAGAGAGAGAGAGAGAGAGAGAGAGAGAGAGAGAAAGAGGGAGAGAGAGAGGGTGAGAGAGGCATCGATGTGTGAGGAGAAACATTGATGGGTTGCCTCCCGTATGTGCCCTGATCAGGGATTGAACCTGCAACTTTTTGGTGTACAGGATGGCACTCCAACCAACTGAGCCACTGGTCCTGGGCCAGTGAGATTATTTTTAAAAATCAAATTGCAGGAAAATTAGCATGACTCACGCCTTCACCCGTTCAAGTCTGTTCCGAGGTGACCTTCCCAGAGGCCCTTCTAAATGGCACCTCTTTACACTCCCTTCCCCCTCACTGTGCTTTATGTCATAGCTCTTATCCTCACCAGACCTTTTATTATGTGCTTGCTTGCTTAATTTGTCTGCTCTCCCCATTGGAACGAGGGCTCCATGAGGGCAGAGGTGTTGCTTGGGCCATGGCTGTGTCCCCAGCACCTAGAGTCATGCCTGCCACATGCTGTAGGACAATGAAAACAGGACACATCCTCTTGGGCTCACTCTCAGTAACAGAATCTCCAGAGTGAAGGCTGACAGGCTTGATGTTGCTACAATTTCTGTTGATGAAATAATAAAAACAAAAGGCAAAGAAAATTGTCAGCCAAATTCAAGGAATTAAACTATAGCATATAGAGTTATTCACACTTTAAAGAAAAACATCATAATCCTAATAATGAAAGAACATGAGTAAGAAACATGCAGGAGAAACACATGACAGAGCCATGGAAAATGACCTGTTTCACAGTAACCAGATCGTGGATGAAAGCAGCCCTGGGTGCGAAGCACTCGCACTGCCGAGCGGGCAGAGGTGCACCAGGCCACCTCGGAGCGGTCACTCTCACACCCGGTGATCACTTCTCATTAGGTCCTGGGGAGTGAAAAGGCGATCTGTGCCACGCCATGGGGTGCTGGGCCCAGCTTGCACCTCTTGCAAGAGCCAGTGTGGCTGGCATTTCTCCCAAATCTGTTCAGGGATAGGATGTTGGAGGCTTAAAATCGGCCAAGGTGGGAGTACTCGCACCATAGAAACTGGCCAATGCACAGGTCAGCTCTCCCTCATGTAAGGAGGGAGGAGAGAATAGAAGGGGTGGAGAGGCCTTTGGCATCGAACTAGGAGTTAAAACTGGGCAGGACGGGGAAACACCTCCAGAAGGAACCATAGGTGAGGACATTCAGGCAGTAGGTCTGGTGCTTCTGCCCTTCCTGGATCTGCTGGCTCAGGTCGGGGCCTCATGGCTTTACCCCTCTCCCTTCCTGGACTCCTCCTCCAGTGCTCTTCGGAGTTCCCCAACTTCAGATTTTGTCAGCTTCAGCGGCGACCCAGAAAACAAGCTGATGCAGCCAGACGAGAACAGCCAGTGGCTTTCTAGATGCCTGACTGCACCCCTAGCATCTCCTGCTGCCAGGCTCGCAAGGGCAGGTCATACTGCTGGACAGCGTGGAGACACTGGGGAATCTGGACACTGGATTTGTGATCGTAGCAGGGGGCACATGAGATGTTGGGGGGCTACATTTGGAAAGCAGAGTTCTCTTTCTAAGAGGCACACGGGAATATTTATGGCTGATCGCTGAGATTCATTTCAGAATCATCCAGTGCTGGCGGGAGTGTCGATGAAGTAAGTTGGCCAGGTGCCAACACTGATGATGAGTGCAGGGCTCCCTGGGCCATTCTCTTTATTTTTGAACATGTTTAAAATGTTCCATAATACACAGGGGAAAGCGAACATAGAAAGAAACCAAATTCCCACCAGACAAGAGAAGGGGTACGTGAACCGAGGTGGAATAGCACAGTGGAGTCTGGTCCAGTGGTGAGAATGAACAGACTAAGCCACATGCAATACCAGGCTGGATCTTAGCGGTATATTCCTACATAGACAGGAAGTCCCAGAACATTTATTTATAGCATGACCCTCTTTTATATCAAGTGACAAACAACTGACTCTAAACTCTCTCACTCCCTCTATGCATGTACACATGTTTAACATACACGCATGTATAACACATATACATGCACACACATACACGTACATCTATACACACACGTGTACATGTACAACACCAACACACATGTACAGGTACAACACACATACATGTGCAGGTTCAACACATACACATAGTACACGAGTGCAGGTACAATATCTACACACATGTGCAGGTACAACATTTATACACACATATGCATGTACAACATATATACTAGTACGTACACACATTTACATGTATAACATATACACATACACAGATTTACATGTACTATATACATACACGTGACTATATATGTCTATCGAAGAGCACAAATGATAAAACTACACTTAACTCTATATAGATGCGTGTGTGTATATTTAAAGGTCACATGTATGACTTGAAGTGTTTAAACTGTCTATGTGTCAACAAAGCAGGAGAGTGAGAAACACAGGCGCAGGCAGTGAGCGCAGCCAGTGGCAGGTGGGGCAGGGTGGGGTGGGTTAAGAAGATACAAGTTTATCAAGGTCTAGATCTCAGGTTGGCTATGGCTTATTATTGCTGATCACCAAACAGATTAAGAAAAAGGCCACGCAAGCACCAATGAAGAGTGCGTGTCTCGAACCAAGAATTCTGACGAATCCAATTCTGCACACCTGAGTCCTCGTCAAACACACAAACAGAGACAGGCGGCTCCTCTCGCCGTGCCGCGCCCAGCTCGGTGTGGGTGCCATTGGGCCAGCTCTCTAAGGGAGAGTTCACACAGGGCGCAAACTGGGGGTGCGGGCAGTAAGTGGCAGCCTCGCTGCAGCACTGCCGGCAGGAAACCGAGCAATCAGACAGCACCTCCCCGCCACGCGCCGAGGCGCAGTGCCGCGGGACCAGGTGCCCACGGGAACTCATGCCTAACAAATGGCCTTGATGCCTCGGGTGTTTCAGAGGCTACGGGAATATACGGGATTTCAAAGCGGGTACACGGACTGCAAGCCCTCAGGGAGGCGCATTCCCGCTCCTGATGGGCCCGCATCCAGCACGCTGCCCGGCCGCCTGCCTGGTGGGGACTTAGAAGTGTCTGCTGAGCGGAGAGATAAGTTGTGTTCCCAGACGTGCTGGCATCTGGGCATCAGTGGGCTCTTCTGTGTCCTGCTCCTGCCCCAGCTGCCACACGCGTGCTGGTTAGTTCCACGGCTCCCGCGTTGCTCTCAGACACGGGCGGGCTCGGGTTTTTGTTGTTGTTTTCTGTGCTTGTCATCCCACCCATGCCGTCTCTTCAGGGCTCTTTGTTGCTGTCACTGGCCACCAAATGAGCACTGTCCCCCACAGAGGGCACTGTCCTGGGGTGTCCAGAGGACAAGCAGTCCAGCTGCCACCCTGGGCTACAGCCTGGGTCACCCGTGGAGCTAGGAGCCTCCCTGTACACGCACATCTCCTCCTCCGTGGCCCACAGGTCAGGCAGACACGCACGGGTGCAGCCCCGTCGGCAGGAACCGCCTCCCCATGTTCCTCAGGCGAAGCAAAGTGAAGCGAACACAGCCTCCTGCACAGGAGCCCCGAGGGCGGCTGCTCCTCCAGGAACAGCCTGGCGACAGTCCCAGCCTCGGAGGCCAGGCCGCGGCCTCAGGGTCAGGAGCTGCTCAGTCAGCCGGGGCCAGCGGGGAGGAAGCCTTCGATGTGGGAGGGAAAAGCGAGAGTGAAGAGGAGGAAACCAACATTTAAGCATCTACAATGGGAAAATTTGATGTTTTACTCAATTTAATCCTCAAAAAAATGCATCAGGTGAATACTGTAACCCACATTCCTGAGATGAGGAAACAGGCTCGCTTAGTGGGAATGTCACGTCATGGGGAGTGTGGCTTCGATGTGCACAGCAGGCCCTCCAGTGCCAGCCCCAGAACCCCGCTGGAGAGCAGCTGGTCCTGCTGGGAGGAGGCCTGGAAGGGGGAGGGGAGGGAGCAGAGCAATGACTGCTGGGGGTGTGCAGCCTGGCTGCTGAGGCCCGGCTCCCGGGGGGGTCTGGAATCTGTGAGGGCACAAGAGGGGCTCTAATGGGGCCTCTGCAGGGGACTAAGCAGGGAAACGGGACCCAGGTGTCCCTCTCCCTGCAGGATTCCCCACGTTTGTTCTCTTGGCCTGCGGGGCTCCAGGCAG